TCAGTCATACCGACCAGTCTCGCTTCCTGGTTCTATCACTTCCTAGCTGTGTGGCTATCAGTCATACCGACCAGTCTCGCTTCCTGGTTCTATCACTTCCTAGCTGCGTGGCTAGTACAGCAGTACTGCTGTGCAGATGATATGATCTAATACAGGGAAAGTTCTGAGAACCGTGCCTGGCAGAGAGCTAAATATGTACTAAAGGTAGCCATGGAACACTGTCTTAGCCATGTAATATGTACTTATCTCTTGCCACCAAGAGTGATGTTATGTTCTCAAGCCTCCTCAGAATGATCAACTCTGAGAGGAAATGGCCACAGAGAGCCCAGAGCTCTAGCTAATGCCTGGTGGAAGTGCTCTGAGTTGCAGCCAAGCCTGATGGATAAAGATCCACGATTCTCAGCAGGAGAGCACTTTCCAGGGTGTTTTTCTCACTGGCTTTCTGATCGGTGCCACTGGATAGAGTGAGCCCCTGGTGCTGGAATCGGCATGCTCGTCCTCTGCTTCTCTCAGCAGCCTGGCGTGCAGATGTCCTTACCCATGGACTGGCCAGCTGCAAGAGTTGGATTCTTACTCCCTTCAACCTGGTGTCCACGCCAGGTCCAGGCTAGCACAGAGGAGTGATTCTGCACACTGCCATTTATCAAAAGCACTTTGAAGTGGTGACCATTGTGGTCCTTACAAAGCAGTCTCCATCCCCCTGCTATGCTGGAGAATCTGCTGATGTTTCCAGTCACCAGAAAAGAATGGGGCATCTAAGTGAGGGCTGGGGCAACCTGCAGCCTCAACTGTTAAGTTCCACCACGGACAGGGAGGTGGTAGGACCTTCTTGTGGATCTACAGGAGAGGCGGGGCCTAAAAACATCTTCTGGGAGCCTGCACACTGTCAAGGGAAGGTCCCCGCTATCAAATACAGGATGAAAAGTTTATTTTTAAGATCTTTGCCAAGTCCTTCCTTCAGAGGAATGCAGTCCGAAGCCTCCATCCTGAACAATAAGTCAAAGCTAGCACTGGAAGTAACGCATTTTTCCATGATGGTCTGACCCCTGCTTTATGACCTTCATGCTGACATTCTGCTGGGAACTCTTCCAACTAGGGGATCTCAGGAGGCTGCAGGAGGGGCAAGAAGGGGAAGTAAGCTTGCTACTGTTGTCTCAGGAACCTAAGCCCAGTTGATGACCCATCCCTTCAGGGTCCTGGCCGTGTCAACATTATTTAGTGGAAGCCTGGACGTCGTCATCCATCTGCTGCTCCAGGAGAGCAGCAGCTAACCTTGACCCAGCATTTACTATGCGGCTGCCTGCACTGAAAGCTTTTTACATGGATTCTATCTTTCTTGTCTAATCAGCACAACCATACCACGAGATAGCGAGGTAGGCGCTGTTAGCATTGCTTTTACACAGAGAACAAACACAAGCCCAGGGAGGTATCTAAGGCAACACCGCTGGGAGGTGGTAAAGTCAGGATTTACACCCGACCAGTGCAACTCAAGAGCCCACACTGTCACCACCAAGCTCAAACGCCTTTATATCACTCTTGGGCTGAGATTTAAAAAATAAATAAATAAAAGGTTTTTTCCCTTTATAGGTTCTGGTAGAGACCACTGTGTTTTGATGTTTCATCCTATCTAGACAGGTCTGCCAACTCTCTACTCTGGCTTCCAGATCCCCTCTGAAATCACCCTTGACTTGGGTGGTCCATGGCAGTGTGTATCTGCTGTTTGGGAATTACATCTCGAATCTTTCAGATTCTCATTCAAAAACTCATCCCTGTGAGGATGATAAAGACCTCACACTCTCAAAGGGAGCTTGGGAATCCGTGGTGGCCTCCCCAGTCCTGAAGAGTCCTACAACAACCCATCCCCTTCCCCATACCCCTCCTGGGCAGGGGTCGAGCTAGGCAGTGGCTGGGCAGTGACACGCTGCATTTCCCTTCTTGTCCCTTCACATGGCAAAGAAATAACAAGCCTCTTACGTGCCAATCCTGTTTCTTGCTCTGCTCAAAACTACATTTGTCACTTTAAAAGCAAACCGGCATGAGGTATCTAAAATTGTCAAACTCACAGAAACAGAGAGCAGAATGGTGGTTGCACGGTGTGGGGAGGAGGAGGGAAATGGAGAGTTAATATTCAATGGGTATAAAGTTTCAGTTATGCAAGATGAATAAGTTCTACAGACCTGCTATACAACACTGCACTACGGTTAACACTACTGAATTGTACAGTTAAAAAGATTGTTAAGGGGCTTCCCTGGTGGCGCAGTGGTTGAGAGTCCACCTGCCGATGCAGGGGACGTGGGTTTGTGCCCCGGTCCGGGAGGATCCCACATGCCGCGGAGCGGCTGGGCCCGTGAGCCATGGCCGCTGAGCCTGCGCGTCCGGACCCTGTGCTCTGCAACGGGAGAGGCCACAACAGTGAGAGGCCCGCATACCGCAAAAAAAAAAAAAAAAAGTTTGTTAAGGTCTCATGTTGTGTTCTTACCACTGTTAATAAAAAAAAAAAAAGCAAACCTACAAATGACAAGATCACTCACAAGTGCCTCTTAAAATTCAACTAAAAATACCGATAGCTATTCTATTTCTTTACTTATATAGAGTGAAACATACTAATGTGGTAAAGAAAAGCGTTCTTTCTATCTACATACATACGCATTTGAGAACTGATTTATGTCATAGTGAGGGGTCAGCTGTCTGTTTTTCTTTTGACTGACACATAAAAATGTTCTATGTGCTCAAAAATAACTTTCTCTCAATTTTCACTCTTCAATGCCACATAATACCATAAAAGCATGTGTATCAGCCAATATAAATACTACTCATGATAATGTTAACTATGCATGATGATGGATATGTTAATTAGCTTGACTGTGGTGACTATTTCACAATGCATATGCATATCGAAACATCGAACATTTTATTTGTTGGTGATACCTCAATAATGATGGGAAAAAGAGGAAAAAAGAAAACATGCCCTAAGTGTTAAGCGTCTACCTGGTATACTCAATAAATAGTAATCATTAGTGTTAAAAAAAAAAAATACCCATGACTGTTGATAGTTAGGCTTTCTTTTTCTCTATAATTTCAGAATTCTGAATATATCATTGGCTCCTTGAGGTCTACGTGTGTAGTCTTGTCAAAACATACAAATCCTGAAGGTACTCTTTTCAAGAAGTGGCAGGTAATTCATTCTAAGCATAGTAAAGTACAGCTTTGGAATGATGCTGTTTCCAAAAGCCAAAGGCATATGCCGGACATTCAAGAAAGCAAGTTTTCTGTTGGACATACTGTGGGGAGTGCTGAAGGCACATATTACTCCAGGCTGCAACACAGATGGAAAAGAGAAGGCTTTCCAATGATCGTTACAAAATGCACTCATCAGGGTTTAGGAGACGGGGATGCAATTTAATCAATAAACGTCTCCTCTAAATCTCACACTTGGTTTCTTAAAAACCATTAAAAAAAATCAAATTCTCTTCCATCAATCTTAGGAAAAATAGTAAGTGCAAAACCTAGGTGTAGCAGCGTCGGGAGAACCGGTACTGTTATTTCCATGGCTAAAGCCTCAAGTCAAGCAAACCAAAGCATGCAGAGCACCGACTAAGGATGGTGGCCCACATAGCCTGCTTCCCACAAATCAACTCCATAGTGGAAATTCCCCACAATAATGATCAGAGAAGGGCTCACCCCACTGCTGCGGCTTGGCTCCACCCCAGCATTTATCCCAGGTCGGGGTAAAGCAGCTGTGAGCAGACAGCACACACAAGCAGCACTTGAGCGTCTGGGGAAAACGGATACTCACCTCCGCGATCTTCAGCACTGCGCTCCCATTCAGGTCAAAGGTTGGGGTGTAGGTTATGCAGAGTAAAACCTTTAACAGCCAGGAGGCAGAGGAGGAAGGAAGAGAGAAGGAAGTAAAAATTTAGAAATAAATTTCCACTTCACATGTTATTAGTGCAGTCCTGTTTTTTATGACTCTTTCGCTCTTTGCTTTTCATATGTTTCTTTCCATCCCACCCACTGCTCTCTAATTAGTGACCACACATTGCCCAATAAAATAGAGACTAATACTTGTAAAAGGAAGAAGCATTGTAAGCCTGGCCAGAGATGGCTTTCTTCAACTCCAGGTCTGTCCAGTAATAAAGAAAACCAAACGGCCAGGCTCACTGCTAGGTCCTGTACGTGAATTACCTAGACTGATATTTTTAGTAAGCGTCATTATTACCGTCCTCATCTTACTGATAAGGACACTGCACCTCCGAATGATTAAATAAGCTGCCAAAGTCACACAGGTACCAGCTGTGGAGCTGAGATCTGAACCCAAGTAATCTGACTCCATGCCCTGACTGACCATGCAATACTGTCTCTACCTCTTCCTAGACCGGAGCGTCACTGTATTTTTCTGTTCCTCTCGCCTTCCCAGATCCACATGGGATTAGACATTCTTTTATGGGCACTTTCTTCTTTCCTTCTTTATTTCCCCCAGCACACTGCCTGGGGCTTATTTATTAGTTCCAGATTCCCCTTATTCTCCAAGTTACATAGACAGTGAGTCGATGACATTTACAAGATCTTTAAAGACCACTAAAAATTCCACTCTCTACTTGTAGAGCTATTAGGGAATAGATCAATAAAAGCCCAGGGCATTTTAAGAATTGCTTCTAATTTTACAGATAAAAGGCTAGATGCTCCCCTGTCCATTTGGCTTCTGATGCTGCAAATTATCTCGCAGGTGGTCCCAGACATGAAATTGCTGATGTCTGCTCCTTGATCCCCAAACCCAACAGCCACGTCCTGCCTGCAGCTCGGCCTGTCAGTGGCAGCCTCAGAGGATGTTTCCCACCTGGTTCTGCCTAACTCGTGAAAGAGCGCTGAAGCCTAGCAAATTTACCATTAGGATATACACCTGCTCAGCACATCAAAAAGTGTAACTGTCCCATGGAGCAAGGAACCTCCTAAATCGCTCAGTCTTAGTTACCAGCCAGGCCAGCCCTAGGAACAGTCACGCCTTTAGAGAAAGCAAACAGGTAGGTAATTAAAGAAGGAAAAAGGGATTCTTGCCAATTTTAGTCACAAGGTTAGAATAAATTCACAATTTTTTGTTCCTTAAGGCACCTGAGAGCCAAGAGCTGACTCCACATAAAAATCGTCTGAATGCCACGTTGGCCGAGAGAGGGGGACTGTGGGAACTACTGCCCCATGGCTTCATGGGAAAAGGCTTTCTTTTGTTTGATGACTACCTTTGGGGGTCGGAGTCTGGCATGCAAGGAGGGATGAGAGCTGAGGACAACAGGGTCACCAGGTCCTAATTTCGCCTGGGGAGAGGCCATGTCTTCTAATGCCTCTGTAGTTGATGGCATCTCTGCCTGACACCCTCCTATCCTGGGATCCTCCTAGGCTTTTTCCTCATGTGGCTCATCTCCTGGCTTCTTGGTGATCTCAACTCAAATGTCGCCCCTCAGAGAGGCCTGCGGCCCTCCCTGAACACTCTCTCTGAAATGGCCTCTCTCACAGCTCCTTGTTTCACTTGCTTCAGAGCAAGCACCAGTCTCATAAATTACTGGTTTATTTACTTATTTATAATCTTCTCATTAGACTATAACATCCACTGAGCATCTGAAAGGCCCTCAGGCTTTCTCATATGAGGCTTTCGAACTTTGATTTCTTGCTACCTTGCACAGCTTCTCTTTCTTATTTATTTTTTCTATGTCATGTTTCACAGCAGGTGGGTGGAGGGTATGAGACAGTGGCTGGTGTAGGTGGTGGTCTGGGGAGGTGAGGTGGCCCATCTTGGCCCTTGGTTTTTTAAGTCATTACAATAAAGGCTGGCAACTGGCAAGACCTTACAATATGAAACTAATCATGGCAAATTTTTGTCTGAACTGGCTAATTAATAATGTTACTTATAGGACCAATGATCGACTTCCTGCCTTCCATCGCTCCGTGCATTCATACAAGGTGTGCAAGGGTAAGAAAGAAGTTTTCAAAAGCCAACCCAGTTTTCTGTGAACAAGAGCTGCTTTATGCAACAGAGGCTGGAGGAAGTGGGAGCCGTGTCTATGGTGAGGTCTTCGGGAAGGGCACTGAGTTGGCATATTTGCTAATCAAGCTTCTCAGGGGAACAGAGGAGGCTGGACTCTGCCACCGGGAAGCCAGCCAAGTGTAGAGGGAGGCCTCACAGCAACAGTCTGAAGGAAGCTGAAGATCCCTGCACCCAACTGATGCTGATCCTGTTCAAAAGATCATTGAAAAACAGGCTCTCCACACCTAATGTCTGGCCACTAATATCCAAAGACTCACTGAGCTCTATGCAAAAACTAAAAACAAGAAAAAATAGTGAAAGTGAAGCATAATAATGAAGCCGTCTCCTTAAGCTCACACAACTTGTTTTTCTGGAAGCAGAGCAGGTTTTAACTCCAGAGCTGACGGTGCCCATGGCCTGCCTATGACTCCCAAGACACATAAAGGGCCCCCAGTTTCTAGCTAGGATGGTGCAGCAGACAGATGTGACTTATTGCAAATGATACACGGAAAAACGGTGCCCAAAGCCTGGCAAGCACTAATTCACTGGATTCAAACACAGACCGGGTGTAGGAAATTTAGGGTGACGGCAAATTAATTTCAAGTGTCTGACTTCCACTGCATAATGAAAGAGTAAGAAGTTTAGACTGGTATTCTGAGCACGTTGGCCTCAAGGAAAACAGGAGCACCTAAATATTGAGGACAATTCCAATAAAAATACATCCCTCACAGGGTCATTAAAGCATACTGGCTATATTATCACTGAACAGCAAGAACTTGAGCGACAGGCAGCGTCTTGCAATCTAGATGGTTGGTGCTGCCTCCATAAATAAGCCAAGAGGATGGGGAAAGTAGGTGCAAAACCGTCCACAAAAAGGGCACGATCATTACAGAGGCTAATAAAAATCGCAATTATGAAAAAACAATAACTGAATAGCTACTATATACAAGAAACAACCCTGCAATTAAAAATGTGTATAGAAACAATGGATAAAACAGATAAGACTGGAAAGGAGAAAGAGAAGCTGATTTATTGCAAGCATTGGGCCCAAGTGATAAGAATCTGAAAAATTTAGCCACATTAGGAACACAGAGAGACAGATGCGGATAGATAATGATGACAAGTGCAAGATCACAGGTATGCACTTCTCATCAGGAAAACGCCGGATGAATCCTCTCCCGGATATCCTCTCCTCTCCCGGATAAGATGCAAGGGCATCTTATCGTCATGATTGGGGTTTCTCCATCAGGCTCATTCTGCCCTGCGATCACAATCACGACAGAGCAGGGGCTGTGATGTCAGGGCTAAAACACAAGTGTTTCAGTAACGTGACTGTGGCATGTGATTTAGTATTTAATTGCTGTGAATTTGCCTACATCCTCTAAGCCCCTTATCTTTAAAATTCCCATCCCACCTCACAAGGATATTTAGAGGAAAAATTAATTAAATGACTTTAAAAAAAAAAAGAGGGGCTTCTCTGGTGGCGCAGTGGTTAAGAATCCGCCTGTCAATGCAGGGGACACGGGTTCGAGCCCTGGTCGGGGAAGATCCCACATGCTGCGGAGCAACTAAGCCCGTGCACCACAACTACTGAGCCTGAGCTCTAGAACCCGTGAGCCACAACTACTGAGCCCACGTGCCACAACTACTGAAGTCTGCGCGCCTAGAGCCCGTGCCCTGCAACAAGAGAAGCCACTGCAATGAGAAGCCCACACACCGCAACGAAGAGTAGCCCTCACTCGTCACAACTAGAGAAAGCCCGCACACAGCAACAAAGACTCAGTGCAGCCAAAAATTAATTAATTAATTTTTTAAAAAAAGAGTACACACAGTACATATATCTCTAGGCTATCGTCTCATAGAGATTAAACAAGTCTCCATTTGATGTAACACATGGCAGCCATTCCAGTGTAAATAATTAGATGCATTTTAAGTAAAACAAAAGAAAAAAAATCAATCAGATCATCCGCATTCAAAAGTATAAATCTTTCCAAGTCTTCATCCTACTATGTATCACTGCCCCCAATTCCTGCTGTCTAAAGCCCTCGTCATTCTGACCCAGCTCCACTTCCTCTCTCCTTGATGTTCTCCCTTTCAGGCCCCAAATCAATTCAAGGCATTATTCGCCAAGGTTCTAATTGCTGTGGGGTCACAAATACAAAGCAAGCACCATCTTTACCATTACAAACTCACCATCTATTGGAGAAATGAATACTTGTACAACTATACTTCATGGCTGGCTATAGTGAGCGCTACTGCAACCGTGAGGTATATAATAATTCTTAAGGTCAGAAGACATCTCAACTTCGGAGAGCAGAGAATTCACAGATTAGATAATGTGTGAGCAAAGCACTGATACAGGAGAGAAAAGGGACAGATGTACCAAGCAAAGGAAATGCTGTGAGTAAAGGTATGAAGTGTGAAAGCAGAGGCTGGAGATGGTGCTAAAAAGGTTGGCTGGAACCTTATTACACATCAACTTAAATACCCCATGTTAAGTCTTTTGCACAGATTATTTTAGGGCTGGTTGGGGCAACAAATCACAACTAAAACTAGATGTAGGGACTTCCCTGGTGGTCCAGTGGTTAAGACTCCAAGCTCCCAAAGCAGGGGGCACGGGTTTGATCCCTGGTCAGGGAACTAAGACCTTGCATTCCACATGGCACAGTCTAAACAGACAAACAAATAAAAACTAGATGTACTGAGGCAAACCAGAAATCAGAGCAATAAAGCAGACAATATGTTGTAGATGAATTAAAGACAGAGCCTAGTCATTCCAGTGGCAATGAACTGACTGGGGTGCATTGGTGAAGGGATGAAGGGAATTCACAAATAGAAGGCAATGGTCA